GGCAGCGCCTGGCCGCTGACCCAGAGGCTGCCCCATCACTGCCCAGTCCCGCTGAGGCTCTCTTCCACATCCATGTGTCTGTCTGTGCTTTCCGCAGGTCTGGGATATTGTAGGTACCGAGCTCAAACTGAAGAAGGAGTTGACGGGTCTCAATCACTGGGTGCGAGCGCTGGTGGCTTCTCAAAACTATCTCTACAGCGGATCTTACCAAACAATCAAGGTGGGACCCTGAGACTCGCGGCGGCTGTGAGCCATCAGCTCTCCCCATGCCTCTGTATATCTGTATTCTGCAGCATGGGTTGGTGGAGCTGGGATGTGGGAGCACTGCTGGAGCGCTGCTGACACACTGGATTTTACTGCACTGATTGCATCTTTGCGGGCACAAAGGCCGGGCTCTGGCTGGTCCTCGGGAGCGCAGCTGCTGGGGGATGCTCGCTAAGATAAAAGGCGGCCTCACAGCCCCGGCGCCTTGCGCTGCCTCTGCAGCTGCCGCAGCGTTATCTGCACTGACAGTCCTGCTGATAAGAGGAGAAGGTCACTGTCTGGCTGCAGAGTTACCATAAATCTGTGTGTGGTTTCTGAACCGCCCTCAGCTGTGGTGGCTCAGGCTGTGATGAATAGTTCACCTCTCAGCATCTGGGTGACACAAGAGAATTTGAAGGTTCCCTCCTCAGTGTTAATAAATCCCTGTTCGTTTGTCTGCACCAGTTTTTAGTGCTATCAAGGACTGGGCTGTGTGTGCGTAGGCACACGCCAAGGATGTGCAATCTCCACAACTTTTTCAGCCTGGATGTTCAAAGCTGGGCAGCTAAATAAAATAGTGAGACTTCCCAGCTGGACAGATTTGTCCTTAAAGATGTGATCTGGGCACACGTGGAGCCAGGCTGGAGAAGGGCTTCAAGGGAGCTCCCTCCTGGACAGGGGTCCCTGCATGGGTCTCATCCTGCCTTTGCTCCGGCATCTCTTTCAGATCTGGGACATCCGCAACTTGGAGTGTGTCCACGTGCTGCAGACATCAGGAGGCAGCGTCTACTCCATCGCTGTGACAAACCACCACATTGTGTGTGGCACCTACGAGAACCTCATCCACGTAAGGGCTGCGGGGTTTGACGCGCTTGTTGGCTTGAGGCTGGGGGAGAGGGGCAGGGAGACAGGCACCTGGCTCTGCCGGTCCCCATTATGGCACAGCCAGAGCATGGGTGCACAGCACCCACCCTGGAGGTGTCCAGGGAGGTGGAAACACCTCTTGGGGAGAAGCTGGTGGCCTGCAGCCCAGTGCAGTGTCCGAGCCCTGCTCTCCTTCCGCAGGTCTGGGATATAGAGACAAAGGAACAAGTCCGCACGCTGACCGGGCACGTGGGTACAGTCTACGCCCTCGCCGTCATCTCCACACCGGATCAAACCAAAGTCTTCAGTGCATCATACGACCGGTCTCTCAGGGTATGTGCACAGGGATGTGCAGCTGCATCTGTGCATTTTGCGCTGTCGTTAAAGAACGGACAGCCTCGAGGGAAAGGGAGGACGGGGGATCCTCATCCCTGCACTCTGCGTGGCCTCCTATTTAATTTGTGTCACTTGGCTTGAACCCTGTGGCATGCAGCATCCGCTGTCCCTCCTGGTGTGCGGGATGGTGCCAGAGCCCCGTGCCACTCCTTGGCTCATGCCTCCTGTGTGCCCGTAGGTGTGGAGCATGGACAACATGATCTGTACCCAGACACTGCTGCGACACCAGGGCAGCGTCACTGCGCTCGCAGTCTCCAGGGGCCGCCTCTTCTCCGGCGCCGTGGACAGCACTGTAAAGGTTGGTTTCCTCAGGCTTCTGCTTGATGGTTTCGTCTCTTCCAGTTCTAGAAGTAGGGCACTGAATGAGTTAGAAGCCATCTTCAGACAAACAAGGGGGTGGTTCTCAACAGCGGGGAGGTTTAACTCCTGCCAGGGGGGGTTGTGGGTGCCAGAAGCTCAAAGAGAAGCTCCAGAGGATGCAGAGAAGCCCACAGAGCTGCTCAGAGCAGTCGCTGCCATGGGTTCCTGTTGTCTCTCCTCCACAGGTCTGGACATGCTAGTGAGAGCATCGCACTAGTCCTGCACACTGAAAGACCAAAAACTCCTCCCCTCCGTCGGCCTGCTGGGTGACTAACACCACTATGGAATAACTGCTGCAGCTCCTCTCCGCCCCGACCACTGCCTGCCGCTGCCCATCGGCCGGTTCCCCCACCCGCACGGACCCTGGCTGGCAGCTCTCAGGACGAGGCTGGCCCATGGGTGCTCCAGATGTTCCCTCAGATCTGCCAGATGTGATTGGAAATGCAGAGGAACCCGTTCTGGTGCCAGCACCTCCTCTGCCTGCGTCCCCCGAGCTGGGGAGCATCCTCTGGGGCGAGGGCTGGGGCGAAGGTGGGTCTCCCGGCCAGGGGACACGCAGGGCACCGGTGCAGATGCAGCGCAGCCCTTGGCTCGTGCTGGGACTGAACAGTTCAGCTTGTCGCAGGCGGGAGCCGGCCTGGCCGGGGCAGTGACGCTGGGAGGCTGGTCCCTTTGTACGTGGTGGAACTGAGCATTCGCCCTTGCCCTGGGTTGGGACCCCAGCCCCTTTTCTGTCTCTAGTATTTAATTTTACTGCCAAGACGTCAGGCTGATCCATATGGGAAGAGGTGTTTTCTTGAGTAGCCAGGTACGATTTTTATGCCACAGCTAGTTCTCAAATCAAGTAACACAAGCCCATTGTTCACCACCCTGTAATAATGGTCTCCACATTAAAGAGAAAAAGCCTCCGTTGCATTTTTACTCACATTTTCTACTGTTTTTAAGATTGTAATATAGATTTGATTATTTCTTCATTGACAATAAAAGC